AATTAAAAGATTGAGTGGAATTTAAATCTGGTAGAACCAAGAGAAATTTTCGATTCGTTTAAAAATAGGACTGCTGTTGGCCTTGGCCGAAAACAAGTGGAAAAAAATCCGAACGAAAATATTGATTTTAAATATTATATAAAAAAATATTACAAAATCTACTAATCGGATATTCCAGCAAATTTCGCAGCAATCTTATTTATAAACCGACAAAAATATATACAACTTTGGCACATGACTTGAGATAGTGAAGATGCTGTTTTTGTCTTTGAAGCTTTCGGATGTCATCTGTATTATTATTATTATTATTATTATTATTATTATTATAATCTTTTCTATTCTACGAAAATGCTTCACAGCCCACAGAATACATTAAAATTTACACAAGTTCTGGAAGAACAACTTCGTTTTCGTTTAAAACTGTTCCAAACTCTCTTCAACAACTTTAACCTACNAGAGTACTGCATTTTTTGTTTTAATGGTTTCAAGTTTACCTTCAGGTGCATCAGGCGATGGTTTACTGATGTACCTAAAAAAGAAAAAAAAAAAAAAAAAATCAAGAGAAATTACAAAAGAAAATACTAATTTTTTTGTTTTCTGTTGTTTTTTTTTATTAAGCACAATATCACATTACAATGGCTAGAGTATGTTTCCTCTTTCGCTAACAATCTTAATGTGAAACCAAATGAACCGTAATTTATTATAATTATTAAAATTATCAAGAGATGGTGGCCTAACAGCCTATCTCTCATCAAATTACTTCGTATCTGATTATTAAAATTAGCCTTATTTTAGACTGATAATATGGTGATTTGTTCTGTTTGACTTAAATTAATAAAAGGGTTTGTGGATTTGTTTACATAGTGGTGCCTCATACTTCAAATTTAATTCGTTCCAGGAGGCTGTTCAAACTCTGAATAGTTCAAAGTCCAAATCAATTTTTCCCATTTGAAATAATGGAAATTGAATTAATCCATTCCTAGACCCTAAACAATACCATTTCAATAAACTTAAAACAGCAAACAGACATAATTTAAGATAAAAGTAACATAATTACTGTAAATGCCTTAATAATAAATTAAAACACGAAAACAATAAATAAAATACGTAAATACTGTGTAATAAAATAAAAATTGCATTACTGGTTGCACAGTGGCGACTGCAGCATCTTAAACTTGGTTGCCAGATCCATCACACAAGTACCACTTTGCGACAAGTTCCTTTTTCACCTCATTCATTGATGCTACAACCTTCCTGTTAGGCTTTGTTTCTTCCATACACTTCTTGGATGCCATAGTTAATAAGTAAAAATTATATTGGTTTGCAAAGTTTTTGCATATTTTTAACAGCTTTCATAAATTAACATAAATGTGTGATTTAATTATAACAGTTGTGAAATTTAACTCGTTATTGCTAATGGGAGATGACATTCTTTGTTTTTAAGCTTATTTTAAATTTTTTATTTCGCATTTTGTTTGAATAAAATCAAGTTGAAATGTCTTTGGATAAAAAAAAGCACATCAGGCAAACTATACTTTATGAGTTTTGGAAAGGATGTAATGCCTCACAAACAATAAAACTAATTTGTAATGAGTATGGGGAAGATGCTCCTAAACTTCAAACATGTCAATTATGGTTTTAAAAACCACAATTGACATGTTCGAAATTCCATTTGGGAAATTTTGAACTGAAGAATACAAAATGTTTGGGCTGTCCAAAAGCTGTCTATGAAAAAAAAAATTGCATACATTGTTAAAAATAGATTAAAAAACACACAATATATATATAACCAAACACACCAAAAATAGAGCAAAAAAAGCAGTGGAAAACACGAGTGTAAAGCGAGAGTGACAGACAACTTGGATGGACAATAAATTGTGTTTATGCTTCGAGTGCATTTTTTCACTACGTGCTCAGTTCAAACTCTGAAATGTCCAAAGTATGAGGTACCATTGTATAAATAATTTTAAAATCTTACAATATAAAAGCCCATTTTGAAAGCAAGTTTCAAATTACAATTTGTTGAATAAGGACTATCTCATATGATATTCTCTGAACATCTACTCTTTATGATATTCACATACAGAGTGATCATAATTAAACACTTTAAATATAAAATATTAAAATCATACCTGTAACCTTGACCATCTGGTATTGATTCTAAGATTGGTTGTTTTATTGTGTTTGTACGTTCTTTCTCATTTAAAAATCCAGTTCGACGAAGTAGTAAATTTGTTAGACTCCGTCTTCTTGGTTCTCCTAAAAATATAAATTGTGTGTTATGACATACACTTTTGATATCCAATATTCAGTCTAACATCTTGACAATATGATTTCTTTAATCTTTTATCTCTTATAATTAAAATGGAATCTAAGTAAGGATTTTTTTATACATAAATTTTTGATTATTTAGCAATCGTTTGCTTTAAATTTAATTGTAAAATATTTCTTCTAAACAGTATTTATGTTTAGTCAATAGCTTGTTACATTATCCAATCTTTTGTTAGCAATTTATGAGTTTGTGATCAAGTATTTATAAAGGATGACAACTTCATAATAAAGTTAATGTTTGGTTTATGTCACCTATACAGGGTGACTCAATAAGAGTTGCAGGATTTATTTTGTTAATAAAAACTTCATTTTACTTCAAAAATTCAATTTTTATAAGACCAATATAATCCCAAGAGATGGGAAATTAGGAGTGGGAAAACAATATCGTGCAAATGGCTGTCTCTATTCTTCTTGTGAACTGTTTATCTTTCGGAAACATTTTCCACGACATTTTTCAAAATTCTGAGCATGTTTTTGTGTTGACGTCCTTCAGATGTTCTGTTTTCACATGTAGGCATACACTTTCTCTTTCAGACAGCCCCAATGAAAGAAGTCCAATGATGTTGAAAATAAAGCTGAAAATGCAATCACAGTGAATGGTGAAAGATACTGAGACGTGATCACCAACTTTCTATGGCCTGAACTCGATGATATTGACGTGAGTGACGTGGTTCAAGCAAGATGGTGCAACATGTCACTCACCTCATGAAACTTTGAGTTGCCGTGTGGTAAACTTCCAGGTCATGTTATCTCTGCCAGATCTTGTGACTTGACACAATATTGTCTTCCACTCCTAATTCCTATCCCTCAGGATTACTTTGGTCTAATAAAAAATGAAGTTCTTATTAACAGAATAAATCCTGAAACTCTTATTGAATCACCCTGTACATCAAGTGTCATAAACCAAACATTAAAGAAATTTGAATTGAGAACATCCAATATTTTTATGCAAATAATGTAGAAATAGTAATAAATGAATGGATATTTAAATATATAAAATGTAATGTTGATTAAAACATGAATATGATGTTTCGACTAAACTAATTGCAAGGTGAAAATGATGTATGATTTTGTTTAAATTATATAACAATTTTTTTGAATCAGACTTTAGTTATATTTAAAAACTACAATGTTTATGCCTATAAATAGCATTAAGAGAGCTATGTGAGAATTGAAAAAATTAAAAACTTTCTTCTCCACACTTGTTTTTCAACAATACGATCTTATTAGACGCCAAAATATGTCAACTTTCTAACTATCAACTAAACTAACACTTTCTCAGAGTAAACTGTAAGCAAGTTATGACATCTTTCCCTCAACTGACCTATTAGTCACCACTTTGGACAATATCATCTTCATATAAAACAGTTTTGACCTATCTGAAAGAGTTACTTCCTTTTGTCCCAAGCTGTCAAGATCTGTGTTTGTGCACTTCCCTTCTCACCTGCATTTTAAAACTCTTAAAGTGCTACTTCATTGAGAATTGGGTTTCAAGAACCTAATAAATATATCCAACGTAGGAAAAAATAATCAGAATTCAAAGCTATTTTAATTTGTAAATGCTCTTTCTCTCTCTCTCTCTTCACGATCATAATGAATATAAATATGAATACTATGTGTAATGTACTGTACAAACTTTAGTATTGTCTAATAAATGTCTTAATTAAGAGTGACTCCTTCCAATTGAATCTAGTCTTATGTATGAGACTGTATTGTTTCCATCTTCAAATGCTTAAGTCTTGAGTAGTGGATGTAACCTACTTGATGTCAGAAATTCTGAATGTAATCACCTACATCTAGTGACATATATGAGGAAGGCCCCAGATCACACAATTATATGTAAAGATAGAGACATGAATAGCTGAAAAGAATAATCTAAATATTGAATGTTTTTACCATAAATGTGATTGCAGTGTTATATAATTAATTTATATGCTAAAGAATAAATTATTGTTTAAATAAAAACTCATCTAATAATTAAGTTAGTTATTAACGGCACAATTGTAATTAAATTTTCTTTCTAATTTAATGGAATGCTTACCTCTCTGCAAATCCGAATTACTTCTTCTTTTAACAGTTGGTGTTTCGGAATAAACTCTTGGCGGTCCATCGCCTAATAATCGTTCTTCTCTAGCAATTAGGAACTGTCGGGCTTTAATTAGTAATTCTTCAAAAATTACTATTATTATTATTATTATAATCTTTTCTATTCTACGAAAATGCTTCACAGCCCACAGAATACATTAAAATTTACACAAGTTCTGGAAGAACAACTTCGTTTTCGTTTAAAACTGTTCCAAACTCTCTTCAACAACTTTAACCTACCAAAAAAGTTATAATCGAATATTCTGTAACAAAATAATTTACAATTTTTAAAAATCTAATCTTACTACGATCCTATTTTATCAAATATTTAACGGCATCGATTATCTAGAACGTCCAAGTTGGAGTTTCTAGAGTCATTAACTTGAAATTGGGAAAGTGATTTCCATGACGATAAAATATTTAATATAATCATTATTTTTTTTTATAAAATTAATAATATTTGAAAAATTAGATGGAAGTTAGACGCAAATGTCACAATGTAATTAACGTTATTTATTTTCGTGGTTATTATAATAGAATATTCAATATAAACTCTCTCATCAAGAAGCTTTCAATGGCATTCGTTTTTTTTCCTCCCAATTTGGTAGAGTGCCTTATGGAACGAGAGTACGGTTTGTGATATTTTGTCTTAGTTTCGGTGAAAATCATTGATTGAATGATAAAAGTCAAGATTTAATTCACGACAGACCAACCTATTTTCATACCTGCTTTTACTCGACATAATTAGCCAGAGTGCACTTACAGCAACAAACATTCCTAAATGTAAATCTAGATTTTTCAGAAAATTTCTAAGAGAAGTTTTTATAAGAACACCAAAATAAAACTCCAGAACACAAGACCGACGTTACACAACCTTCCAAAAAATAAGAAAACAACAACAACAACAACAACGGGGCACTAATTAAAAAAAAAAACTGAGTAACTACATTTTTAAACAGTGAATTTGAAAATGATAGGAGAGAAACAGTTATGAGGGTGTCTTCATTTATGCCAAAGAACTAATTAAATAATATTGCATAAATATTAAATATAAATTTCATTTATACAATAGCTGCTTCTGTATCAATAATTAACATAATTGTATTGCAATATATATATATATTGTATATACTACAGATTATTAAATACTTACTTACATATGCTATAGGCAAGATGCGTAACTCTGTAAAATACATTTTTTTAAAGTATTAACTGCGTCCACCTGAAACGAGTTAATGTTTACGTGACGCCAGTTAATATATTTAGCAAACTGTAGTAATATAAAAAACATTTTACTGCTACTTCTACTATTACTACTACTAGTTATGCAAATTGCCTTTAACGTATATAACTTATGATAAAAATAATAATTATAATAATAAAGGAACAAATTACATTTTGATGCCTCATTTATCACAGGTTTATTATTTATTTTCAAGCACAAATATTAAAGAAAAGTTTGGTAAAATGAATATATATATATTTTTAATTAATTAATTTTTTAATAATAACAACAAGTGAATGAATGTTGCATTTCAATGAAAGTCAAGATGTTCCTACTACTACCAATGTATGTAGATTAATTAAGAGATTAATCTGAAATAAATCTAGATATATCTATACTACTACTGAATATTCGCTTCACGTTTTTTGTAGAATTACCAGTAAAATATTATAATTTATAGAAATATCTTGAATTTTATTGAAATGAATCTATGCAGCATCCATTCATTCTTCAGTTATATCTACATCAGAATTTTTGGCAGAAGATCACCAAGTTTATATCTAAAACTACAGAAAATAAATCTCTAGTAAACTTAAAACTTATCCAAATTAACATAGAAGACTTTTACAAATTTAGCAACCATATTTATGAATCTCAAATCCTTAGTGGTTGTCCGCTATATAATGACAGATGCCCCGAAACTTATAATGAGCTACCCGAAATTTGTGGACTTATTAATTGATTTCAGAATAATTAGATATAAGAACAATCAGAGACAAGAATCTGATTGTACTTATACTATATTAGTTTATCCGTTTATCAAAATCCACTACTTCAATAATCTGCAGCACCATCAAGCTGCAGTTTTTTGAATTCCAAGTGGCTTACTAATGTTTAGTAGGTAGCACTTTGTTCGATACATTGTCGGCATTTGAAGCGATCGGTTAAGAGACTCGTCTTATTCAATCACGACTGTATAAAATTTTAAACAAATTTTGTACTTTGAAGAATTTAAATACATACATATATGTATAAATTAATAGGTACTGATTGTTGTAAAACTAGATTATAAACTTAATCTTAAATAAATAATAATATTAATAAAAAAAAATAGCAAGTTATATTTAGTAGCAATTCAACAGGATCTGATAACTACTTTCAAGCTTCATATTCTTATATATCAGTTTAACATAAAACAACTGGAATGAAATGTAATCGTTGCTGCAGAGAGATAACATTATAATAAAGTTTTTCTTTAAAATATTTTGTGAACAAATATATACAGACATTTTTGACGTGTTGCTTGATACCAGCCATCAGATCTTATGTTAACTCTAACAGCTATATTCTGTTATTTTGAACAATAATATCGAACAGAGCATTTATATTGATACAACAGCAGGTTTGAAACAAATTACAAAGTTTTCTTTATTGAATTTATTAAAAAAATAAAATCCTAAAACCTTCTCAACACAGTAAAATACCTGAAATGTATTTACAGATTTTCAAAATTATAGAGTCAATCGATAAAAATAAAATCTAATCGTTACTGTATCTAATTAATTATTTTAACTTCGTTTCGTTCTGTAACGAAAAAATATACACTAAAAAATATGGAATAATTTCTGACCCTGCAACTTTCGGACATTCACTGCATTTGTAACACGGCAAGTAACGGAGAAACAATTGCACGAGTCAACGAGTATCATACCCCAATCAGAATCAAAACTGCACGGTTGCAATAACAAAGGCAATCATTTCAATGTTTAATTAACATGACGCACTGTAAACATATTACTTAGGTATTTTTCTTATAGGTGACAGCTATTGAAATGGATACTATAAATCCTACTTTCAAATTATCATAACTTTTTTCCCTTTGAGGAAATCGGCGTTTTTATTTTTAACTGATAATCACCCGCTTGCGTGCTTTCAACTGACGCAAATTATGCAATTTTTTTCTCTGTTACTTACCGTGTAAGAATAATCAGAAGAAAAACTTGATAATTTAAAAATTAAAAGACAAATTACTACAATTTTGAAACAAATGTATAAAGTTGAAGCATATGAATAATTAAATAAATCAACTGCAGGATAACAGTTATTTATACAACAACCATGTAAAATAGAATCTTAATAATAACATTAGTATTATTACTATTATTATTATTATTATTAACTGAAGAAAAACAAAGAGTATTCTAACAAGAAAATTTTATTTTATAAAATTTTATAAGCATGTAATTAAAAACAACTATGATCTGATAGAAATTTATATACTTAGATCAGCTGCTCTCAATTAATCATTACGATGGCACCCATAATATATATACCTATAAATATTTGCATAATTATTTAACTTATGTCAAAATTTGATCAATCATCAAGTTTTATTAACAAGAGAAACTCTCAATTATTTTAAGAAAATTTACAAAATGATGATTCATCACAAACTTCATAATTTCTATATAAAACTACACTTCCCATTCAGAGTCCCAGAAATCTGGATCCAATTGGATTACTCCGTGCTCTTGTGTAATTGCTGCTAGTTCTTTCAGAAATTCTTCAAGGACTACTGCACAGAGTACTGCATTTTTTGTTTTAATGGTTTCAAGTTTACCTTCAGGTGCATCAGGCGATGGTTTACTGATGTACCTAAAAAAGAAAAAAAAAAAAAAAAAATCAAGAGAAATTACAAAAGAAAATACTAATTTTTTTGTTTTCTGTTGTTTTTTTTTATTAAGCACAATATCACATTACAATGGCTAGAGTATGTTTCCTCTTTCGCTAACAATCTTAATGTGAAACCAAATGAACCGTAATTTATTATAATTATAAAAATTATCAAGAGATGGTGGCCTAACAGCCTATCTCTCATCAAATTACTTCGTATCTGATTATTAAAATTAGCCTTATTTTAGACTGATAATATGGTGATTTGTTCTGTTTGACTTAAATTAATAAAAGGGTTTGTGGATTTGTTTACATAGTGGTGCCTCATACTTCAAATTTAATTCGTTCCAGGAGGCTGTTCAAACTCTGAATAGTTCAAAGTCCAAATCAATTTTTCCCATTTGAAATAATGGAAATTGAATTAATCCATTCCTAGACCCTAAACAATACCATTTCAATAAACTTAAAACAGCAAACAGACATAATTTAAGATAAAAGTAACATAATTACTGTAAATGCCTTAATAATAAATTAAAACACGAAAACAATAAATAAAATACGTAAATACTGTGTAATAAAATAAAAATTGCATTACTGGTTGCACAGTGGCGACTGCAGCATCTTAAACTTGGTTGCCAGATCCATCACACAAGTACCACTTTGCGACAAGTTCCTTTTTCACCTCATTCATTGATGCTACAACCTTCCTGTTAGGCTTTGTTTCTTCCATACACTTCTTGGATGCCATAGTTAATAAGTAAAAATTATATTGGTTTGCAAAGTTTTTGCATATTTTTAACAGCTTTCATAAATTAACATAAATGTGTGATTTAATTATAACAGTTGTGAAATTTAACTCGTTATTGCTAATGGGAGATGACATTCTTTGTTTTTAAGCTTATTTTAAATTTTTTATTTCGCATTTTGTTTGAATAAAATCAAGTTGAAATGTCTTTGGATAAAAAAAAGCACATCAGGCAAACTATACTTTATGAGTTTTGGAAAGGATGTAATGCCTCACAAACAATAAAACTAATTTGTAATGAGTATGGGGAAGATGCTCCTAAACTTCAAACATGTCAATTATGGTTTTAAAAACCACAATTGACATGTTCGAAATTCCATTTGGGAAATTTTGAACTGAAGAATACAAAATGTTTGGGCTGTCCAAAAGCTGTCTATGAAAAAAAAAATTGCATACATTGTTAAAAATAGATTAAAAAACACACAATATATATATAACCAAACACACCAAAAATAGAGCAAAAAAAGCAGTGGAAAACACGAGTGTAAAGCGAGAGTGACAGACAACTTGGATGGACAATAAATTGTGTTTATGCTTCGAGTGCATTTTTTCACTACGTGCTCAGTTCAAACTCTGAAATGTCCAAAGTATGAGGTACCATTGTATAAATAATTTTAAAATCTTACAATATAAAAGCCCATTTTGAAAGCAAGTTTCAAATTACAATTTGTTGAATAAGGACTATCTCATATGATATTCTCTGAACATCTACTCTTTATGATATTCACATACAGAGTGATCATAATTAAACACTTTAAATATAAAATATTAAAATCATACCTGTAACCTTGACCATCTGGTATTGATTCTAAGATTGGTTGTTTTATTGTGTTTGTACGTTCTTTCTCATTTAAAAATCCAGTTCGACGAAGTAGTAAATTTGTTAGACTCCGTCTTCTTGGTTCTCCTAAAAATATAAATTGTGTGTTATGACATACACTTTTGATATCCAATATTCAGTCTAACATCTTGACAATATGATTTCTTTAATCTTTTATCTCTTATAATTAAAATGGAATCTAAGTAAGGATTTTTTTATACATAAATTTTTGATTATTTAGCAATCGTTTGCTTTAAATTTAATTGTAAAATATTTCTTCTAAACAGTATTTATGTTTAGTCAATAGCTTGTTACATTATCCAATCTTTTGTTAGCAATTTATGAGTTTGTGATCAAGTATTTATAAAGGATGACAACTTCATAATAAAGTTAATGTTTGGTTTATGTCACCTATACAGGGTGACTCAATAAGAGTTGCAGGATTTATTTTGTTAATAAAAACTTCATTTTACTTCAAAAATTCAATTTTTATAAGACCAATATAATCCCAAGAGATGGGAAATTAGGAGTGGGAAAACAATATCGTGCAAATGGCTGTCTCTATTCTTCTTGTGAACTGTTTATCTTTCGGAAACATTTTCCACGACATTTTTCAAAATTCTGAGCATGTTTTTGTGTTGACGTCCTTCAGATGTTCTGTTTTCACATGTAGGCATACACTTTCTCTTTCAGACAGCCCCAATGAAAGAAGTCCAATGATGTTGAAAATAAAGCTGAAAATGCAATCACAGTGAATGGTGAAAGATACTGAGACGTGATCACCAACTTTCTATGGCCTGAACTCGATGATATTGACGTGAGTGACGTGGTTCAAGCAAGATGGTGCAACATGTCACTCACCTCATGAAACTTTGAGTTGCCGTGTGGTAAACTTCCAGGTCATGTTATCTCTGCCAGATCTTGTGACTTGACACAATATTGTCTTCCACTCCTAATTCCTATCCCTCAGGATTACTTTGGTCTAATAAAAAATGAATTTTGTGAAAAAATGAAGTTCTTATTAACAGAATAAATCCTGAAACTCTTATTGAATCACCCTGTACATCAAGTGTCATAAACCAAACATTAAAGAAATTTGAATTGAGAACATCCAATATTTTTATGCAAATAATGTAGAAATAGTAATAAATGAATGGATATTTAAATATATAAAATGTAATGTTGATTAAAACATGAATATGATGTTTCGACTAAACTAATTGCAAGGTGAAAATGATGTATGATTTTGTTTAAATTATATAACAATTTTTTTGAATCAGACTTTAGTTATATTTAAAAACTACAATGTTTATGCCTATAAATAGCATTAAGAGAGCTATGTGAGAATTGAAAAAATTAAAAACTTTCTTCTCCACACTTGTTTTTCAACAATACGATCTTATTAGACGCCAAAATATGTCAACTTTCTAACTATCAACTAAACTAACACTTTCTCAGAGTAAACTGTAAGCAAGTTATGACATCTTTCCCTCAACTGACCTATTAGTCACCACTTTGGACAATATCATCTTCATATAAAACAGTTTTGACCTATCTGAAAGAGTTACTTCCTTTTGTCCCAAGCTGTCAAGATCTGTGTTTGTGCACTTCCCTTCTCACCTGCATTTTAAAACTCTTAAAGTGCTACTTCATTGAGAATTGGGTTTCAAGAACCTAATAAATATATCCAACGTAGGAAAAAATAATCAGAATTCAAAGCTATTTTAATTTGTAAATGCTCTTTCTCTCTCTCTCTCTTCACGATCATAATGAATATAAATATGAATACTATGTGTAATGTACTGTACAAACTTTAGTATTGTCTAATAAATGTCTTAATTAAGAGTGACTCCTTCCAATTGAATCTAGTCTTATGTATGAGACTGTATTGTTTCCATCTTCAAATGCTTAAGTCTTGAGTAGTGGATGTAACCTACTTGATGTCAGAAATTCTGAATGTAATCACCTACATCTAGTGACATATATAAGGAAGGCCCCAGATCACACAATTATATGTAAAGATAGAGACATGAATAGCTGAAAAGAATAATCTAAATATTGAATGTTTTTACCATAAATGTGATTGCAGTGTTATATAATTAATTTATATGCTAAAGAATAAATTATTGTTTAAATAAAAACTCATCTAATAATTAAGTTAGTTATTAACGGCACAATTGTAATTAAATTTTCTTTCTAATTTAATGGAATGCTTACCTCTCTGCAAATCCGAATTACTTCTTCTTTTAACAGTTGGTGTTTCGGAATAAACTCTTGGCGGTCCATCGCCTAATAATCGTTCTTCTCTAGCAATTAGGAACTGTCGGGCTTTAATTAGTAATTCTTCAAAATTTTCTACTGTAGAAGAATAGGTATCTATTTTATGTTTTAAAGAAACAAGAACCTAAAAAGAAAAAAAAAAAAAAAAAGTCAATACAAAAATCTTTCAATTTACTACTATATAAAAATTATAATATTATTTTAATCACAGTAGAAATAAAGATAAATTTTTTATTTTATTAAAATGTAATAAAAGTTTATTCTTAATTAAAATACAATAGTAATCAATGCTCAATAAAAATCTATTGACGAACTTTTCAGAAACTTTTGGAACTTTATCATCGATACATATTATCTATAATCTGGTTGATGACATCATTAGATGTCAATCCTATAAATCAGCAGTCCCCAACCGTTTTATCGCCACAGACCGGCCAAAGTTTGATAATTTTACCGCGGCCCACTGAGGAGGGACGTTGATTGTTTATATTTTAGATTGATTTAATTTAATAATTTGAATTTAATTGTATTTAAACATGCCTTCAAAATAAAATACAGTTACACCAAAAAATGAATATAATGTGATTTAACGTTTTAACTCACTAAAACGCTAAATCAATGAGAACCCTGAGTTTGTTTCATTGCAATGAGACGGTTCCCTCTGGAGTTAATAGGGGAGAATGACACCCGAAGTGTGTTTCTTATGTCCAGTTTATTCTGTTGTTCTGTCGTCCATTAAAAGTTGCACAAACCCGAGGAAATACACCATAGTAAAGAAAATGGAAATAATTTAATGTTCCTTGGGCGGCCCGGTACCATTTGATCCACGGACCGGTACTGGTCCGCAACCCGGGGGTTGGGGACCATTGCTATAAATGGCTCAGATGTCATCTTAAAGGCTAAATTTATACTGGCTTGTAATTTACATTCCAAAATAACAACACACAGACTGTGAAACAAAATGAATTAAAAAATACTATTTGTAACGTAGAAGAGAACTTGTTTGTTTCAAAAAGAAAACGATGAATGCATGAAACATATAATAATTTACTTCATATATTTGTGTTAAATGTAAATTCACAATTTAAAATATAAAGAAACTAAGCTGCCTTCATTCTTTCATCATACCCAATCATCAGGAATTTTTTCTTTGTGGAGACGACCTTTTTATAGAAGCTATGCCTCTGCAATGGTGATTTGATTTGACGGAAGAATAAAGACAATATAGTTTCTTCTCTATTTTAAATTGTGAAATATACTGTATGCCATTTTAATTGAAATTATAAACGTAAATTGTTGAATGAATGGCATATAACTGAATACTTAGACAATGTAATTCTGTTTTTCATATTTTATTTATACAGTTTTATGTATGAAATTGAAATATTAATTACACGGTTTTATATATTTTGTAATTTTTAGTTTAAATATTTATAAAAAACTAATTGCCATAGTTTCATATTAACTTTTAATGCATAGTTTTGTGATTGTATTTGCAACTGTAATTTGCACAGGATGGTTTTGTTTTATATGAGACTGATATATGCAAATTCGTTTTTCACAGATGCCAAATGATTGGATTAAGCCTTGGATGCGCAGGAGCATTTCTGAAGATTAATGCACATACTTACTATTTTCATTTTTATGAAATTCACTATATATAGTCAAAATGTAAGCAAAATGTTTTAAATGTGTTTTTCTGTTAATTGTAGGTGGCTATGTAAATGTCTAGGCAATCTTCTAGGACTATTTGGAGTGGAGCACAAATTTACTTGTAATCTGTTTTATATGGTACCTGCTGACATACAGCTTCCATGTAAAAGTACACCATATAGTAGTATATAAGTTCAGTAAATGTGTTATATAAGGGGATTTCTAAAGAAGTATTAGAAATTTTGAGAATGATCTTAACTATGATTTTAGCTTCTAAATTTTATTCTTTAGACAAAAAATTTCAGCTTTTGATCCTCATATTAAGATAGTTGATTTATAAACACCTGACTTCAGGTATACTAGCACATCCATTTCTATGAAGTAAACAAAAATGGTAGTTACACGTTTACAGCATGATACCAGCTCAAATGTCACCTGGGTTAATAAGATCCACGTTTGTGGGATAGGCAGAGGGTCACATTCAAAAAATCTGCCATAGTCTCCCTTGGCCACCAGTGGCAAACAGACAAATGCAGGACTGGCCCAAATATGGCTACTGCATCACAAACACAATGAACATCACGTATCCACCCAGCCACAGATAACCAAGGCTGGAAAACCATCCCAACAGATAAAACAGACTCAAGAAATGAATGAAAGCATCATCCATACCTAATATAATGCCATCACAAAACTTGAAACAGATATGACAGCTTAGACGGATACTACATGATTAATTCATACAAAAATACCGAAATCTCACTGCAACAGAGCAAAGGACCCTTATCAGAAAAAACAATTAAACACAAAAATCGTAGTCCACAAACAATGCTTGACCATGTCAAACAACAAGCTGCACAGCATATTCATCAACACACAAACACCAGATCACACAGTTGATCAGACATTCATTGACAGTACTCAACAGTCACTCAAAAAAACATACACAGCACCCAAACACAGCTAAATCACCTGTTAGATGTTACACTCTACTGATACTTAAGTAGAGTTTGGCGTAGATGAGGGCTGCCAAACATTTTTTCCTAATGACCCAAATTAGAAATTTACATGTATTCAGTAGGCCACAAAGGTACTTTATATAAATGTATGCTTTTAAAAAGTTCAAAATGTGAACATCAAATTTTAATAACAAATATATATATAATTACATAAAATACTGTATTATTGACAGTAAAAAAAAATTTTAACACAAAAATAAATAAAAATAAATTCAATGTGATTTCTAATATTGCCTTCCTTTTATAATATTATGAATACCTGCTTTTATGGTACTAGTCTTAGTTTTAAAAATGTTATTTAAATGGGAATCACTCAACCTATTTTTTCAGCAGTTTTGATGTTTTTCATGCACAAAAAGAATTGTTCACAACAGTATGTTTTGCATGTGGGGTAGTACAGTTTTCTAGCACCAATTACATCATTATGACATCAATGTGTATCAAGTGAAACAAAAATAATTTTTAACAATATTCTTTATGAAAATAAATGAAAATGTACCTAAAAAATTTAGGGCGTAGTGGGCCATATAAAAATATTAAGTGGGCTGCAGTGCGGCCCGCGGGTTGGACATCCCTGGCCTAGACAAATACAAAACACTTCACATAAAAAGAAGAAAAGAATTCTGAAAGAAAGAAAAGTTTGTACTCAGAAATGGAAATGATATTGAATTCATGGATGGAAGCAAACTTTACATTACATATGTTTAGAATTTCAATAGGCCAAACTCATAAAACACATACAAATACAACAGCAGATTGAACTTAATATAATAATTCAGCTGAATGCAAAACACTCATTTAACGCAACTAACACACAAGTTTAGGTCATTCCAGCAGTGACATATCCCTTTGTAGTTATTCATTGGACAAACAGAAAACTAAAACAACTCTATAGGAAAACACAAACAAAAAAACAAAACATAACAAACATCACCCTAAGCCATCCATAGAAAGGATAGAGAGTAAGTAGATGAGGCATCACAAATATTCTTCACTAATAAACCTTCACTACAAATACAGATCCTCCAAGAGTTTTTCTACAAGGGAGAAACTTCATAATTACACAAAGCAATAACTCTTGCCAACAAAACAGTGCACCATTAAACTTACACAACACTGACCCGGATCTGACATGAGATACACACCATCAAACAGTCTTGGGCTCAGAAGGAGCTCCATAGTAGACACCTCAATGATCACATTGATAGAACCAAGCCAAACTACCGGCTGACTCACATATGCCTCTACGGAGCGACATAACAGATCAGGACTACTATTCAGGACCAGGTCTCGGACTCAGATACAAAACTCGGAAATTCTTAAACAGATATATACGTGAACAGTATTTAAACAAAGCATTTTGTCTCTAGTTATTTATACCTTGACTTTGGTTTGGCATAGCACTAGGCACCGATATATATGCCACATAGCATAAACTCCACTAATATGATAACAACAATAACAATCTGACGCCACTCTAATCCCACAGCTGGATTAACGAATTTTCTAACTGTACTAACATTTTATATTTTTTACACTATAAATACTTTTAATATTTTGTACCAACAACAAATGGTTATAACTGAACTTTGATTTCAGGATTAAAAAAGAGTCTAAGTTAAATTTTATAAATAAGGATTTTATTTCTAACACACTTAATATTTGAAATAATTGCAAAGAATTATTAATAAAATATAAAATTATACAGATCACCTCACCTGTAAAAGAGAACGTATACTTGGTTGAAAGACTAAAGTGTGGTTGAGTAGAAATGAACGAAGAAGAGGTTGTGGGTAGATTGCCAGACGGGTAAAAAGTCCTGTTAAATGCAAATTGGTGTATACATCATTTTGCATCATCATTTCCAGTCTTGTTAACAGTATACTTAGAAAAGGACCAATATCTGGACTTCCAAATGATTCCCACGTAGAAGAAATAGATGTTTTCTTTGCCATAGGGATATGCGGTATTGGTTCATTTTTGTTTGAATTGGTGTTGCTCTCTAAGAATTCCTCTTTTTGTTGAACATATTTTTCGAAAATTTGATTTATTTCCGAAGTTCTATCCAAAGAGGAATTAGTACTTTCTTGTGACATATAAGCTCCAGAATCGGCAACAGAAACATCTTCTCTAATAACACTGTCAGTAATTAAATTAGGACTAGTATTTATCATACACGATTCAATATTGTTTTCGTATGATTCTAAAATATCTTCGGTATCGCTTATACTCGAGGGAGTTTTTGTTGAATTTACTGCAGACCAAAATGCCTGATCGTCATCAATACTTGGCAACTGATATATATCTTGATTAAATGGTAAATCTCTGTTAATTTCCAAACTATCTGGCCTTTTCTTAGTTGTTTGGTAACATAATCCATCATGTTCTAAAACCCCGTTCGTATATACATTCTGAACATTTTTATTTTCTTCATTTTCTAGTGTTTCTTTGTCTTTTGTTTCCTGAAAATTTTTATTTATATTTATATGAGTAGAATCTTTTTTACTTAAAAATATATTTGAAGTAACATTATTATTCCTATGATCTGTAACACAAACATTGTTTGTTAATGTAGGAAATTTAGTATCTTGTGTTGATTTTGAATTTTTTTCTACAGAGTCTGGAGGAGGATCTATGCCATTATATAATGCTGACCAACATTTACATAACTGAAAACAAGAAATAATTTTACATCTTGCATCTTTAAGGTAATCCATGTAGTCTGTTTGAAAATGCGAAAGTTTAATTAATGGTGGGCTGTTAACAGTGTTATATCTGATGTTATCTAACTCTCCAAATGCAAAACTGCCAGTGGATGGTGTGCGACTATGTTTTTTAATACGTAAACTTCCACTAATGTACTCTCTTTTTACTAATGCTTCTTTTGTGACCAATAAAGACACATTAGCATTTTCTATGTTGGTAGTTGAATTATTTGATGAATCAGCAATACAGCATGTTGGAATAAGAGAGAGAAATTTATCTGCCGCACATCCGTAGAAGTCTAAATCTCTAATACGAGTTTTCTGGCTCACCATGATGTGAGTGCACGAAACAAGATATCTATAAAAACAAACATGTTCAATTTACAATCAGTACAATTTATATTAATTAATTTTAACATATTCAATACTGACATATTCTATTTGATTAAATATATTTCAGAAAAGATAAAGCTCACCTGTAAATAAAAATTTGACTAAATTATATCAGTAAGTAAACAAATGATTAAATTCTTAATTAAAAAATAATTTGAAGATCACACATTTAAATTTAGAACTAAAATCTGTAATACTAAAAATAATTTTAGGAACAATTCATTATGAGACTTCAACTTTGAAAGCATTTATGAAACTTTCTACAGTTCAACTTTAACAAGTAACAAAACCGAACTGCACAAAATTTACAGTATATCTCACCACCACTTTATGTAAATGATGTAATTAAAAATCTTTACATGTATCACAACCATGTTATCTAAATGTATTCTATTTGCTTATGATTAATATAACATTAAATTATTTACACTTCTCAGATTTAAAAAAAGAGAATTCAAATATGTTTATACATAATCCCCAAGTAATAAATGCCCAACTTACAGACAAGTTGTACTTATGAACAAGCTGCTATAAAGTGTACTTTTTATAGTAACTTTACCATTAAGATTTATTATTATAATGAAATATATTATTGTGTTTATGATGTTTTAGTGCAGTGTTTCTCAACGGGGGCGATATTGCCCCCATGTGAGCATTTTTCCATGTTGAGGGGGCGATTTGTAACAATTTATATTTTGGGGAGCGAAAAACAATTTTCTGGGCGATATAGTAAGACATTATATTAAGAATAATTAGATATTTTATTCGTTATATCGTACAATAATTAAACAAATAACATTATACTAGTCACTAGTCTGTTCAATGCAATACGAATTTGGTGTTAGCCTTGGCCCACGGCATCGGAATTTTGAAGTGAAGGGGGTGATACTACGTAATGGTTTCATTGAAGGGGGTGATACTACGTTGAAGGGGGCGACGATTCGTTAGAGGTTGAGAAACACTGTTTTAGTGTGTTTGGAACTAGTTTGTAAATGTTTTATATGCACAGAAAATTAAATATATACTATATACTGACAAACATTTGACTAACTGGTGATAAATATCAACAAAAACTGTTAATATTTATCACCAGTTAAATCAAAAATTTTATTTAAAAATAGACTTAAAAATAAAACTTGTTCATAATTTGGGGACTGCTTATATTTAATTGGCAATGATGTGTGATGGATTTCTCTTATAGTATACAGTAATTCCTTGATTAATGTGGTTAACGCATCCAATTAAAACAGTGTATTAAGTGAATAATATAATCAATACAAATTAATTTAATTAATCCCAAAACTTCCAAATGGTTACTAAGTTTTTTCTCATACATGACCGTGAGTGACCAGTGATAATATAATTTCACAATGGAGAGTTGCCAAATGTGCAAAGTAGCTTCATCACCTATACTTTTGATTTGATGACACTAATGAATGTGAGACTTGGAAATTTTAAAGAATATTTTGCCTAATTTTTGCAACATTTTAACTTAAATGTCTTAACGCAATCTTTAAATTAACATCGCCGGGAAAGGAATAGAATGTCATTCTTATCGTCAACAACTGCTAAAAGTTTATAATACTCCTTCGAGAATGTCAACATTTGCCTGTACAAACATGGTCGATCTAATGTAGCAGATGTGACCATAGGGTTGGTGTCTCTTCGACACCATCTCAGGTTGTGACCCCACCGAGTCTCTCAGGACTCAGAAATCATGAGTTTACGTCATGCGAGTGGTCACGGGTAGGTGGTTGGATTCAGAGTAGAGGTGAGGAGAGAGAAACGAGGAAGTGATTCACTCGGATTCCACATTAATAAACAATAACAAATTTATTTTAGCGGGCAGGAGTACACGATATAAGATCTTATCCCTATTTTCTTTCATTTAACTGTTGTGAGAGAGAGAGAGAGAGAGAGAGAGAGTTTACAAACGACTCGTGTGTGGATAAATATCTTATAAACACGTTGAGGATGGATGACTTGATGACTCAACCACGGGATTCTTTGGGTGGTTGAAGGGTCTTTTTATTCGAATTGTTCAGGTAACAGGTCTTCAGAGGGAGGTATCTAACAAGGTGTAGAATAAATCAAGAACTTGGGCGTGATAGGTAACCGTAAGGTCCAACGGAGGCACAGTATTTTAGCACACTTTGGAGGATGCCTCTTGTGGACGAACTTTGGAGGACGACTGACTTTATTTGTCATTGCTCTCCTTTGTTATTTAGGTTCCTTCTGGGTTTTTCCATGAGGTCAGGAGTCTGTTGTTAAGGGCCTGGCATCCAACACTGGAAATTTATCGAAAGTTCCGGGTGACACACTAATGACTAGATGGATCATCCTCAACAAGGAACCAAGTCCGTGGGAAATAATTTTTATGGATTTTAGCCTAACTTTTGATAAAATGATCGAAGTTAAACAATTGAATTCCAAAATAATTAAAATTTAAAATAACACTTTATTGAGGGTCTGTTTGTCCCTCACACAGGTATCAAAGAGTACAGTTGACGTCCAAATTTCACTATCTTCTCATTGTCCCAGAAACACCTCTGACCTTGCAACTGTCAAAAGCAACCTTCGTTTATGACAACGCCTAATCACGTGACAATTTTCCCAGGCCAATCCAAATATAAGACCGATACACCCCCTCTCTGAACATTTAAACTTGTACACAGTCACATTGTAACCAGTGATTATTATAGTAGTTGAGCAGAATCTATTAATTGGTGCAAAAGTTCCCAAGAAAGAATCCCTGTGCAAACCTCAGAATTTATAGGAAAGAGGTATGATATCAAAATCAGTGTAAACTCTCTCTCGGCCCCTAAAATCATACGCGAAAGTTTAGCTAGCCTCGTTAAACGTAATATTCGATTTTCTGTCTATCTACTTGTTTAATTGTTATTCGTTAAATTTTTGATTTTCTTATTAATGGTGTCTGTTACTCGTATATCGCATACGCCTTACCGACGACCCATCTCACCCTCTTCCACTCGACCTGACAAACTGATCCCGATACTGCAGAATCAGAAAACCGAAACGCACCATCCACTGACCAAGTGAGCAGTTTTTACCAAACTGTTTCCAGTAAAGGGGTAAGACCTCTGCTGTACCCCTGGTTACTCACATAATTAATTAAATCATTTTCTAAATTAGACAAATCATGGTATTTCCTTACATTAGATACATTTATTTATTAAAAAAAAATATTAGTGAAGATTTCATTATAAAATATCAAATCAACTTCACAAAATACTATTTGGCAAGGGCAATCAATTTTACTATGACCAAGTAATTACCTATAGAGCTAGTTTATTGAAATCTTATTTGTTGTGTGCACATTCTCCTTCAAGTCATTTGCTGAATATTTAAAGTACTGGTAACTTAAAAATATATATCTATCCTCAAAATAACCCCACATTATTTGAAACTTATTATCAGTTTATACATTATGTTAATTCAAGAAATTAATCAAGAGATTACTGCGTATGTAAAAAAATGATTCGCAACAATTTTTGTTATTTGAATGATAAAGACGATGCATTGTATATTTGCATTTATTGTTATTAATTATATGTTTACATATTTCCCCTTAAATTATTAACTATTAATTTTTGTTCAAATAATATACACAAAAATAGAAACTAAAAACTTATACAAAAAAATAGAAAATGTCAGAAATATAACCTCCAATAAATAAATCTTGAACAGAAAATCTGTAATAGCTGTCATACAACAAATGCTCAGATAAACATAACTGAAAAGTTATGACTATGTGAATAATATTTGTTCATATTCATTTATTATAAAATTTATTTGAGCCCTTAAACTTATAATAAGACTTCTCAAAACTTTCAGTAATTTAATATATAATGTACATAAAATAAAATTATCTAATTCAATAGTTACTACTACTTACTTTAAAACTAGTTCTAACATTACATCTTCACAATTTAAATCCAACAAACTCCAAAAGAGAGCCATGGTTACTAAACATAACTAAAATCAAAATAAAACTTATGAGAATAATCTAAATATGTATTTATTTATAATAGTTAATAAAAGAAAAAAAAGTACTATTAATCAAACCTTTGGTTGCGCTCCTATCCTGCTGATTAATGTATCTAATATTTTGTGACCTTCGTAACTTTCTGTTAGAAGATACTTAAGGAAGACTTGTAATAACGTTGGCTCAGTAATTGTACGTAGAAAGAGTTCCAAATAAGCAGTACTTGCAACAATTTCCTCCATTGTACTCTATAGAAATATTAAAATGATTTTCAGTAATACATTTTATATTTTTTCATTTTAATAGTAAAACCATTTAATGAATACATTCTAATTTATTAAATTTCTTACCCTGTTTCATTTAGATCAAGTTTTCACATTTTATAAAATAATAAAGTGTTTTAATAAACAAAGTACTTTTATTATGAATCCCATGTTTGTATGGGAAAACAAATAATAAAATTATATTCATATATTTTCTTAATAAGTAATAAAATTTACTTATTTTTGAAAAAAATAGGATAAAAACAATTTCGAACAGATGAAGTGCCTTTACCAAAAATGATAAAATTTCGTAAAAACTGGATGAAGTTCAAATCAACACACTAACACCAAAACTCCAGCAAATCACTCACTCTAATAGACAAACCAACGTTTTCTATTTCCCCCTCCCAGCATGGACAATATTTTTAGATCAATGCCTGTATGTCTTACATCAATTTTCTAAGCGGTTTTGAATGTTTGATTACATGTGATGTTGCAACAAATCATACAAGTGTTCTTTTATTTTTAAAAATCATCCTAATTGCAATCACATGTTTGAATTTAGTTAGTTAACCCTGATGATGACTGCTTAAGATGCTTGAAAATGTTAGTTCATCTATTAGAGTGAGTGTTTCACTGCATTTTTGATGTTAGTGTGTTAATTTTTAGATGCATTTTGAAACTTAAAGTTTCTTATAATTAATATTATAAGAAACTTTAAGTTTCAAAATGCATCTAAAAATTTGATTTTGATCTAAAGTTCCAATTTGATTTATTTATATTGTAAAATGTTAAATTAATGAAATAATACTTAAATATTTTTTTGAAATAATATCAGAATGTTAAATGAATATTAAGATGTATTAAAAATATTGTGGATGTAAAAAATTTAAGATTTTTTTAATTAAATTCTAACGATTATGTTAATTTATTTTAAAATATATTTATCAACATAAATTAAATTTATGTAAAGGTACAATTGATACAATTAAGTATTGCTTGTTTAGGGGCGATAAAGAATGTTTTCAACATTTTTATTTCACTTTTCTGCAGCCATTATATGGAGTCCCATACTGTATATTTTATCAATATACAGTATGGGACCAAATAGCCAGCTTCCAGAAGTCTGGAATTACTAGAAAAGCGGCTATTTTTTTAAACTGGCTAGTTTTGAATTTGGCAGACTGTAGTACAACTGCAGTTTAATGCTTTGCTTTGGTTTCCATAGAGTATCATCACATGATGCCAGTGTTATTGAGTCTACAGGCATACAGTGTGTTAGATACAATTTTGTTCTTTACTTTCCATTGTTTATTTTATATTTTAAATGCATATTTAGCCTATTCCCAAAAATCTGGACCACTTGCTTGTTTTCCCAAGCTTGCTGGATATTCAGTCTGGTACTGTATAAATAATAGTATTTATAGAATAGCCAACACTGTTCTATTAGTAGTATTCTTTATACAGAATGAGTCAGAAGTCACTTAGCACAGCTTAAAAAACAAACTGTTAAACAGAAAAAATTTTGGCATGAAAGAAACATGTTATGCCTAGGTACAATGAACTTTGTGTGTGTCAAATGGACGACTGCCATCTTCAATTCACCTTAAAATGTTTAAATGGGGGAATAGGGTCTTTGTGATACATGAAATGAGGCAAGAATTTCTAGAGAAATGCAATGATGTCCATGTTTCAAATTTATCTGTAGAAAGTTATGAAGAAATGAATCTAACCAATTTCTCTTTTTCCAGGTTTGAAAAGCAATGCTGTGCTGCCTCTAATGGATGGGGAATGAATTCAGATCATCCTGATGTCTGAGGAGAATTCCTATAACATCCAAATTATGACTTATTTCAACTGATCCAGTCTCTTAAAATATTTGCAGCAGTTGTATAACTGTCATGTGTGACACACAGTCTCTACAGAGCATCATTGAAAAAATCATTTACAGTGATGCATGAATTCTTCTCCCCCAGACATCAGGATAATCTGAATTCATTCCCCATCTATTAGAGGCAGCACAGCATTGCTTTTCAAACCTGGAAAAAGAGAAATTGGTTGGATTCATTTCTTCATAACTTTCTACAGATCAAATTTACATTTGAAACATTTGCATCATTGCATTTCTCTAGAAATTCTAGCCTTATTTCACATATCACAAGACCCTATTCCCATTTAAACATTTTAAGGTGAAATGAAGATGGCCGTCATCCATTTGACACACACAAAGTTCATTGTACCTAGGCATAACATGTTTCTATCATGCCAAATTTTTTTCTGTTTAAGTTTGATTTTATAAGGATGTTAAATGACTTTTGACTTACATTGTATATGAATCAAATCAAACTGTACTGCAGAAAAGCCAAAAACCCCCCTTTTTTTTTATAAACTTTTCTTTAGTTCTCTTAAACAAGTGTACTAGTACTTGTTGCATTCTATATGAAATAGCTATTACTAGCAGATGAGCCTGGCATTGCCCAAGCAGAAAATAACACCAAAGATTAAGATTAGAAGTATATTCTAATATATTCTACTTCTAATCCTTCTATTATATTACATTATAGTATTTTATTTATATAACTATGCAAGTTATCCTACATAAGGGCTTATCACACTGAGTGACCAATCAAACACATTTTAACAATTCTTTATTCTTCTACTGTAGATAATTTAAAGAATTTTTAAAATGTGTTAGATTGGGTACTTGGTGTGATAAACCCTTATGTAGTATAACCTTTGTACTTATATAAATCAATTACTATGTTATAACAAACATTAAAACGAAAATCATATAAAGAGTTTGGTTATTTCATCCTACCATTGTCATGTTTATCGCAATACTTGGACAGTACGAAATGGTATAATTTCACTGATCAAGTAGACACCAATTGAAAATATATCTTAAATTTTTACAGATATCATATTTTTTCCTGATGTTGACTCTTAAGAAACTGTACCATTCACAGTCAAATATCAAATAGTAATCTGCCAACGAATCAAATTTTGCAAAAAAAGGGGCAAGATATTTAAACTTGGCACCCTTGAAAACAATTTAAAACATATTTTGTGCTAATTTTCCTATTCGAATGTGACCATACTGCTGGTCTGATAGAAAGAAGGCATTGTTGCAGAAGGGGGCTGAAGTAATTCAACCAATAGTAGTCGTTGACCTCCTCCCAAAAGAGAGGACGGTCAATGATTACTAATTAGCCCCTTCCACCCATAACCCGAGATAACTCAGGCTGTGCAGTCCATAACCTGAGTTATCTCATGCATAGGCCTTAAGGGCCTCATAAAATAGGGCCTTGACTTATAACTTTTCCAAAAATGTATGAATCAGCATATATACATCGTTATCTATGATCTCTGCAAATTTCATGTATTATTTTTGCCGCAAAAATATTTTATGACTATTTATTAATTAGGTAATTAATTGTACTATTGTCTTTTTATGGGAGTTTTTTTTATCAGATTAATTAAATCATTCCAAACTTCTATTTGACCATTTTGACTTCGGTAAAATTTTTTAAAACACTATTGGATGTTTTCTATGACATCAGCAGGTTTTTTTTTGTTTTTTATTCAGCAGAATTTTTTTCCCATACCTTTTTTTCAGTCCCCTGTATTTTAATAGCATAAAAATCGAAAATATTGTGTTATATTTGAACAGATGCAGTAAGTTAGCTCCCCTCCTGCTTCAAACAAATATTCTCAAGGCGTACCTGAGAACTACCTGGGAAAGCTGACACCAGCTGTTCTCAAGGTCAACCAGTTTGTAAACAATGTAGACTGCATGTGTGAAATTTCATGCCTTGTTAAATGAATGAATAACAATCCTTGCAGCTATATTTTTCAAATAAAAGCATTGATTTTAAATTATTATTTTTTAATATACTTTTTATATACTATTTTTGTAAAAACACTTTTTGGAGTGGTTTTTATTTTGTGGAAATTATTTCCCCGGCAATTTTTTTGGATGTTAGATTTGCGTTTAAGTGGAAATAATTATTTCATATAAAAAATAAATTTTTTTGTGGCTTTCTGAGTGGCATTTGAAGCAAAACAAATGTAGCAAATGGGTTAATACTGGCATACTGTTAATATTTGAAAAGTGATCTGTGCTGAATAAGTTGTGATGGCCCTGCATGTGATCAAAGTTTCTAACCTTAACATCTGAAACACTTCATATAAAACTTATTTAAATAAAAAAATATTGTAAAAATGCTAGAATAATTCCCTTTATGTAATGATAAAATGTTTAAATTTTGGCAATAGATTGTATAAACTACTTGGGAAGTACGTTCTAGTAAATATTACATTTATAGGAAAATTATTGGGCTGTGATTTGAAAAAACTGTAGGTCTATAAATTCTGACTGTCGTCTCATCTGTCTGACATCCTTCCTTAATTTTGAGAAAGAAGTTAGATCAGAGATGAGAAGTCGAGACCAGATGTGGAAGGCTTAGGGACAGAAGGCCCAGATTAACCATATACAAACTTCTGGTTTGGAGCAGAAATCATGTTACTTCAATTCAAAATTTTCCTCTAAATGGAGTAAACAGATGACTGATACAACTCTAGTGCTAACAGGAAAGTATGATGTACAGGGACAAGACCACCAAAAGAATTGAGAACATTGTGACAAAAATAATTGCACATTAGAATTAGTTTTGTTTATTTGGTTACATCAACATGACATGCAAGTAATCTACCAAGAGGAATGTATCCCAGGAAGACTTTTATGGGAAGTGGACCCTATTTAGGTGTTACTAACATGAAAACCCGGAAAACTTCAAGTGGCCATGCCCGAACACACTATTAACTAACTAACAGAGTTTGGTGGCTTTATGCACTCTGCTACTAAAGGGTTTTTATTAAAATTAAGAAAGTACTATTCAGATATAAGAAAACCAGAGCTGTTAGATGTGCAAAATTACTTATATGCTATTCACAGACTTAAACACTTCTGATTTCACACAGCCAAGTGCTACATGCTACCTGTCTCAGTAATGGTATAGCATGTCTATTTTGTGCTATATCATATTATATTCATTTAATTACTGTGACAATAAGTTTTTTTAAAATTATATCCTTTTTTTGTAAAAATTATATTTTGTTAATTGTTTTAACTTTTTGCCAATAGATGGCACTACTTGTAACTCAGAAAATCTAATATAAATAGCAATTAATTGATTTATAGAAATTCAATATGGATACTTAGGGGTGAGATGTATGAAATTATCTAAGTTAGAAGTATTTGAACATAACTGCTGAGTTTCATAGCAATTAGCTGAACTGCCTAGTAATGTATAGCAAACAAACAAACAAACATCCTCATTTATATATATATATATAAATTAGTAAAATTTAACCTGATGAAGTGCTGGACCAAGAACTGGGAGAAGAAAACCTTGATATAAGTATTCCAGGAGTTGTTCTTGAACCATTGGATGGGATACCTGTAAAACAATGAAATTCAACTTAGTTTGTTACTTTGATTTTAATCCAAAGTATAACATTAATTTCTTGATATAGATTATGCTATACTTAAAATTTTGCAATGCTATTTTCTATATTGAAGATAAGAATTGATTATTATATGTGTTAAAATATACAGGAAAAGCACCAATGTCAGATCCCTATCTCTAAGTAGTACTCTAAGTAGTAGCTTATTCTGTGAAAGAACTGTCATTTTTGACAGTTTTCTAAATTAAAAAATTTTATGATTGCTTCTAATGAAGGGAGTGTGATGTTTGCCAACTGTGTGCGATTGTCAGGATTGTTGAGGGATTGAGACAATCCTGCATGGGTGTGAAATACACACCAAGACAGGTTTTCCGTTCACTTTTCCCATTTAATAAAATATAAAAATATTTTTACAAAATTTTCTATCTAATCTATATTTTTATTCTTTTCGTTAAAATCTCCTTTGATATTTCTTTTAAGAAGAGAGTTCAATAAAAGTTTTAATGTCACAATGAACGTCTACACTTGATCCCGCGGTCTTTTTCAGGATCGATGGTCTCGAGACACACTGGCATGCAATATCAAATGCTGTGTAGCAGTGTGATAAGTCTGTTATCTCTACTACAGTATTTACGATTTAGTTTTCAAGTAATTATAGATAAATTTAATTTCTAAACAAACATTATTTGTTTAGAAAGTGGATAAGAAACTTAAAATTATTACTGTTAAGATACTTGTCTCTAATGTTTTGTTTTTTCCATTTCTTTTGTTAATTTTACTCTTTAAAAATTCCAATAGATACATTTTATTCAGATGTTATTTGAGATTGCATTAAAAATAGCAAATTTAGAAATATGCTTAACAATTGAGCTTAAAAAAAAGGCCAAATCAATTAACTTCATTTGTAAATCCTTAATATAATTGTTATCATTTTTACATTTTTCGCGTAACTAATTTTATATATCATTACATTAAAGCTATGCTTTAGAATAATGGTATATAAAAATACATTCTACAATGTTTATTTAAAGTTTGAAAGGAATTTTAAAAAATAATTTATATTATCCAATTTTTATACTTTTTGTTTTATAAAGTTAATCAATTTGGCAAGTGAGCAGCTCAATTATTAGTTTAAACAGAAGTCTGAATTCAAATTTAAGAATAAATTTTAAATACTAGTTTTCATAAGGCTAAATTTTTACTTAAATAATTCCCATTTTAAGATTGAATTTATTAACTGTACTTTTTAGTTATTTTAAAAGATTATAATTATTTATTTACCTGAATCACAGCATTACAAAATTCTAATGAATTGAGAAACATTGCAAGTTCTGTCATTTCTTGTATATCTTCTGGTGTAAATCGATACCAATCTTCAGAAAGTACAGAAAGTTTTCTTGGTAAAACTGAATATAATCCACTTAAACCAGTGGCCAAGACCTGCAATAAAAATATAGTTAAAATGATTATACGATACAAGAAAATATACAAATTAATATTAAAAAAAATTTAAATTAGCAACAAAAGAGAAGTAATATTAATTAAATGGAAGATATGGACTTGGATTGATAGCACACTTATTTTTACTGGGGGACTGAATCGTCATATCTTAAGCTGGGTACATATATACTAGTATATCCAAACAAACAAATGATGATACAACCGTCAGTTTCTTCATTCACATATTCAGGTATACTGGTATACATATAGCTGGCTTTAGAGTCAAACAATGATCTACAGACTTAATGGGAGTTCATAAATGTTCTCTGGGAATCTTCAAATTATATATATAAATTTATTTAAATTATTAATTAATATATGATAAATAACATTTAATTTGAACAAAATGATTGCCCTCATCAAATTAGTTTAGTGAAGTAAAATAATTTTATTTATAATTAAGTAATGCATTAGTATAAATAACTAAATATATTTCTTTTATTTTAAATTTTAAAGGTTAATTTGTTAAACCAAATTAGCTATTAAAGTGGGAAATGTTGAGATACGTTTCAGATTTTAATAGCTAATTTTCATATAGATTTTACAAAAAGGAAACTGTATTCTAAAAATTAACAAAATTATAACTTTTAATATGACAATGATATTCATTAACAACAAAAAAATAATTGTAAAAATTTGCAAGGAACATTATTATTTATAAAATCTTATAAAAATACATATAATATCAGTCATGTTTAAAATAAATGATTGTAAACTGACTAAATAAGCTCCAATTTATCTCACGTTGTAAGTTCTTACTTTGAATTCGTTGTACGTAACTAAGAATTACAGTAGAGCGTCGTTTATCTGAAAGCTGGTTAACTGAAAGCATTCCAGTCAGCAAATTTAAATTTTCGCTAGTGCTGTGGCACTGTAATCTTTGGCTGTATCTTGGGCTACTCTAATATTTTTTTTGTTGGTGTGTGTTTTAGCTGGCAGCACTGGCACTTTTGTGTGGTGTTTTTCTGAGGACTGTGTGTCGTGAATCAAACGTTTTTTATACTAGATTAACTTCTAACGTATAGTTTTTTTGTTTTTATATTTTTCAATATATTTATTTTGTTTGTAAAAAATAAAGAAATAATTTTTAAAAATACAATAGCCACGATTATTATTTTAAAAAGTTTATGTTAGGTTTAACATCAATGAAAATTCAATGCGAAGCGACATGCAATGGAGAAAAATTTCAACATGGGATAGATTAATATATTTTTTCGTACATAATCGATTATCTGAAAAATAAGTTATCCGAACAACCTCAGTCCCCAATTGATTCAGATAAATGACACTCTGCTGTACTATAGTTACAAATTATTATTTTTTTAAAGTTCCTATCTGCTGTATTAAACTGGGTTAATTCTAAGTATGTAACTTTCACTAATCATATTTTTGTAGATTTTACATTTACTTAATAGTTATGTAAATCTAATATTGACAAATATATAGTTATTAATATATTGATTCTTTTAGGAACTTGCACCAAAGTGACTACTTTGGCACAAAGTTCATTTATCATCATTATTTTTTGAAAACAAGGTTTTTGAGTGTTCAGGTGTTCTTGATTACTTTTTGTTGTTTGAAAAGAATCATATTCTCTAAATTTCCTTACTTGATCTAGCATATGTTTCTTTAAGAATATTAAACAACATTTAAATCTTTAAATATAAATATATACCATCTCTCATTAATTCAATTATTATATTTGATATAAACTTAGTTTGTTTTTCTTACCATACTACATATCAATATAAAATAGAATAAACATTGTCATAATTCATTTTAATTATTTGAAGTATCTGCACAAACATTACTAAACCAATTTCTTTGTGTTTTTCAAGGTTGAAAAACCAGAATCTTGTTTCTTAGTCATTCACCATTGTTGATCAAGTAATGTTGATACTTCATTATATCTTATTGGTTCTGTTATAAGCTAAGTGCTGTTATGACCGGCTATTGTTGTCTTATTTTATAAAATAAGCTTATAATGGGATACTTCATATATATACTTAAAACATTGACAGTCCATTTAATAATGGAAAATATCAATATAAAAATTCATGATTATTTAATTATTTGCAGTTGAAAATGTTATCCTCAAGTCCAAAATAAAAAAATCTTCAGGATTTAAATGTTTCTTGTAATATGTATTAGGACATTAACAGTGTCTAGTAATTAACCCCTCAGTCTCCATTGACGAGTTAACTCGTCAAGCCTACATAGCGTTACGAAAAATGTGGTCCTTAAGGCCATTTTTGAAAAAAAATTTTTTTTTTTGAATTTTTGGAATGTTTTTTAGGTCCCCAAATTTTTTCAAAATTTTTTGCCCGCGCGAAAAAATTTTTATCGCGATTTTAATTAGCCTTTAATAAGGCTCGATTAAGGCTCAGTTGTTTTTTAATGGGAGTTTTTTTTATCAAATTTATTTCATGGTTTTTAAGTTGTAGTGCACGGATATTCATTCGGTAAAGTTATTTAAAGCTAGTTTCTGATGTCAAAAACGACCTCCAATGGTTTTTTAATTTTTTTAATTAATATATTTTTTTAAATATAAAATTAATTAATTATGGGGGTCGGGAATCGCAATAAAAGTTTGAATTTTTTAAAAATATTTAAAAATTTCGCTTATAGTCACCCTACTTTAAACCCTTGTCCTCCCGAGACGTCTATGAGAATGTCCCGGGAAATCGGACTCCAGCTGTGTTCAAGGTCACCCAGCTGTGTAAACAATGACTCATCGGTGTTAAATTTCACAGAAAGGCGAAACAAAGGAAAATAAAATTTGAAGGTTTTTCTTCAAAATTAACGCATTTCTTTCGTTTTTTTTTCAGTTTTAAGTATTTTTAATGTATTTTAATATTAATCTTATATCAATTTAATTAATGATATTGAATGAAGGGGTTAAATAAGATTTGAGTTCCTGTATTTTTCTGTATTTATATATGTATATATACTTACAGGACAAAAATTTGAATGTTCTGCAATATACATTCCAATACTTTCATTCCGTCGTGACAATGCCATGCATAATAGTAAGGCATCACGAGCTTGCTGACCAATGGCACCTTCTCGATGGACAAAAGGAATTAGAAGTGAAAAAATCAAAAATCTGAAAACAAAAGGTATTTAAAACAATTAATTTACAAAATTATAATTATTCATAATGCTATCTATAAGATACATTGATAAAGCTATCAAGCATCTTATTTTGGAGATAATATTGTTCTTTTTGGAAGGAATTTGAAAGCTCAATAGCTCTGTCAATGTACATAGTATATAGTTTTCACATGTACTTTGATATAATACCATGTCTTTAGATTTAAAAAAATTATCATTTTTTTAAAAAATTTATAATATGCAGTACATTAAAATTACAGCCACACCCATACACAGTGTTTGATTCTACTGACACTAAATCAAAGACCACGTCCATATTTATTGTATACGTTTAGAAATTGAATACTAAATAAGATTTTTAATTTTTCCCATAGATTTTTTCCATGTCTGATAAATTCATAACTTTCAGATTTCTCTCATTGGTCAGTGACTTTTCCATGACAGCAATTTTAAATTAATGATTTATGTTTTGATATAGAGTTTTATTAGGAATTAAAATTTTTCATTTTACATTCATTTTGAATTATTCACAAATTTCATTTCTATTATTAATTTAATAACATAGATAGTTGTTATTCAGCAAAAAATTAATTACAACGAAGTAAATAATTATAAAATCTTATGTTAATTAAATTATTTCCATCAGAAAAGTAAATTATTGATATCAATGTAATAAGAACAGACTGAATGAATAAATGTATCCAGCATAAAGGGTGCTACTGCCACAACTGACCAATCAGTAAGCAATATTTAATGTTAATACTTCAATGCATGTGACATTCCAAATTTCAAAAGAAAGAAAACATTTGATCAGAGAAGTTGCTCAAAGTTTGAAAAGTTAACATAACCTGACAATGGTGGCTTAAATCCGTGATTCTTAATCCATTGTCTGCAGAACATGGGAGTTCCGTGAAGCCACTTCAAGTGTTCCAGGAAAAATCAATACAATGTAAAATAATTTTTGTATGGAAATGTAATCAGCAAACTTCAATGATGTCATATACTAGACTGAGTGCGCTCTTGATTTCAAAAAGGTTTTGCCACCTCTGCTTTAAAGCTGATGTATTGTGTTCCATGGAAAAAAATGTCAAAATTTAGTGTTTCCTGACTTCAAGAAGATCGAGAACCACGGGTTTACCCCACCAAAAACATTTGTTCTTCATACAAACTCACAAATATTTGCTGGAGTTTGGGTATGTAACATATTATTACTATATCTAGTTATAGTGAGGTGTTAAATGTTAAGGTTAATGCTTTTATTATTGGTATAATAAAAGATAAAGTTTCAATTTTGTTAAAACATAGCTGAAAAAACCCAACAGAACAAAAAATGAGAAGTCTAGAATGTTATAAATGTATAATAAATAAGTCAAATATAATATATTACAAAAGTATCAAATTAAAAATAAATATATTAAAACTGGAAAAATAATACTGAAGAAAATTTAATAAATACTAAAAGCTTTTAAATTATTTAATATTTACATATTAAATAACTCAAAATTATAATATACATTTCTTAAAATTAGTTTTCATTTAACACAGAAATTTCAATTACAATAACAGAAACATGTATTTTCATGCATATGATCTGTAGATTTTCTATGTTTAAAGTTAAATTTGACAAGACCGGATTATGCAATGAGGAGGATTTTAAACTGTAATCACAAAGTTGCACCTATGGAGTAATGGCTACTCTCAAAGATGCTTGGAATATGATAGGCAGATTATGTAAAGGTTTTATTTTGTTCTAATAATTTTACTATGGATATATACCATTGCAGGTTATAAATATGAAAATATAATGCTTAAAGACTTAATTCAACATTTGTCAAACTAAGCAGATTCAGTCTTTGTGTAACGCAAAATAACACTAAACAATCAACCTCCATTCAAACATTCTTAAATTTTACTTAAAGAACACGAGTGATAATTTATCATTTATTCTGTTAAATAATATGGATTAAAAACAAATTTTGATTATCAAAACTCTCACCTTGCTGATCCCTGTTCTGGACTAGCATCAAAAAATACTTTTAACAAGTCTGGATATTTTGTGAGACAAACACACAATGTATTTAATAATAAAACCAGTCGTTTTTCTACTTCTACCGGAGAACAATCTGTACAAGATGCAAGAAGACTGAGCAGAGGACGGACAATAGGCTTATGAAATAAATTCTGAGGTGAATGACTAACTAATCTCTGAAAATTAGAAAAATATAAATTATAAATGCAATGTAAGTTTTATTGTTAAATATGAAAAGCAATCATTTTAAGATAATTGAAAGTAAGTTTAAAATAGGTTTAGTAAATGATTTAACAAATCTTAACATTACCTCATAATGCTTTAATTGTTCTATCTTCATAATATCAATATATTCTCCTGTGAGAACTGACCATGCGAAAAGTTTATCTAAAATTTTTTCTGAAAGTGCTAATTTGAGTATAGGACTTTCAATTAATTGTTCCACTCCTGAAGTGATACAATTATGATTTAAAAGTAAAACTTCTTGACCTTTTGGCTGTTGGATAGATACAATTTCTTGGAGAAGAAGATTAACCATTTGGTCAAAATGGTTTATAACACTTGTGACATCATCAATAGTTGGAGGGATAAACTGTGGATTTACACTAAATAAAAACAGTTTTAAATTTATATTTTAGTTAACATTAAAAATGTTTCAACTTAAAATATAAAAATTAAAGCTTTCATTCAATCTATATCTAATGTTAAATACAAATAATTTTCTGCTAATAATCTATATATATAAAAATGAATGTATGTCTGTCTGTCCTTCATGCATTACTACACCATTTATCTGATTGCCATGAAACTTTGGGAAGTTTTTTAATACACTCCCGCAAAGGTTTCTGGCATAGTACATTTATCCTACGATAGATGGCACACATGTATATGAGCATTTCATCGTGAGCATTTCAGCATGGTTAGGAGTTGAAACTTGAAATTTGGTACACAGTTAAGTCGGATGCACACATGCAGTACGGCAAGGAAAAGTGGTGTCGCAAACGCATCTTCGCTGAGCGGCGGCAATCCGCTTACATTTTGACACATGCATTCAGTATTCAAGATGGCAAATGATACCGATATTGTCACTATCCACGTGTTTACAAATTTTGTTTCGTACGGCTTACTTTATTTAGTTAGAAGATTTTGTCAAAGATTCAAACAAAGATTTTGATTAGAGATATTTTCTTGGATTGATAAAGAACTGGTGTACAAAATACGCTTATTCCTCGATAAAGAATACTATTTCGAGTAAGATTCGGTTGTTTTTGTTCTTTGAATTAAATTATATATGATTATTTGTGTAGAATGTGCGTTAAATTTATTATCATTCCTTTTTATTCTGAAGTTAGTTATCTCAGTTAACCGCGTCGAACTTTCCGCCATTAAAACACCACGTGATTGTATTTTCTCACGTGACTACCAGACAAACTGTTATTGGCTGATAGAAATGCGTCTTGGCGGCAGTTGCCATAAAAGATAAAATTCAACCAACTTTTGCGGCGAGAAAAAGTAACGTCATCCTGCCACTTTTCCTTGCCGCGCCGCATGTGTGCATCCAGCTTTAGGGTATGTCACAAGAACGCACACTAACAAGGGATTTTTTGAAATTGCCCCGTGGGGAAAGTGACAGGATTAAGGCTTCAACAATGGAAATGTTAAGAGAAAGCAACGTGCAAGATTTACAGGTGCAAATGCAGTTTTTTGCGTTAAATCGAACATAATTTTAGACCCATCTAAAAATTTTCTAATTAGTCTGGAAACAGGGAAACCTAATTCTTGCATTCTGTGAAAATGGATAAGATTGGCTGTAATGTAATAATTTTAATCTTCGCTATTGTTACTTTTTGCCCAAGCAACGCCGAGCTTATCTGCTAGTAATAATTAAAATATATTATTTATCTACATTTTCCATTGCTAAAACATCTTAACAAACTCATTTATCATCAAGTTTTTACCAATTTTTCTATAGTGTATCATACATTCATGTTCATATGATCCAAAATTTAAAAGATCCAAATAACCAAATCTCAACTACTAAATATTCAGGCTATAATTAAGCTAATGAATTACATATGAAACTCCATAATTTAAAACCAAATGATATAATGAATTATTGAGCCATAATATAGCTAAGCTAATAAGTTAAGATTATCACAAGATGGTGGCCTAACCATCTACCTCTAGACCAGGGGTGGTGAACCTGTGGCACTTGTGCCAAAAGTGACATGTTGGGAGAAATCATCTGGCACATAAAAGATCAAACAACCAGTCTTTTTCAATTGTTCTTTCAGTTTATCACCCGATCATCCTTTTTTCAATCAGCTTCTTTATATTTATTCTAATTAAAGCATATTTATTTCACTTATTGACAAGACTATGTCTTGTTTATAAAATTGTGGTGCTGTCCTGGCTTACCAACTTAGAAGTATGAAGGAGTACATGTCAGGAGTTGCAATTTGGCACAGAGTATTGTGTGCCCAAATCATGCATGCATAAAAAAAACCAGACTTGTAGGTACTCAAGGAACCAAGACTGAGTCAAAATAAAATACAGAATGGCGACACTCTTTCTACAAACAGGCACTAGTGCGAGATTTGCACATGATTGCTTATTGGGAAGTTGGAAATGAGAACGCTGCAAAATTAAATTTTGACAAATGATTTGTTGAAAAAACCCATTTACCTGTCCCGTGTTATTCCCGACATACTCTGGTTGTGGCATGCTGACCTCAACTGGTTGACCCGAGATATCTTGTTTCAGCATTGGAATGTTTTTGATAATAGATGGCACTAGTCGTTACAATTTTATATTAAAACTATCTTCCGAAATATAATGTATTTTCTTTTTACATTTATTAATGTATATATTTTGTTTGTGCAAACTAAAAAAATAATTTCGGATGATACAATAGCCATGATTATTTTTTTCAAAAATGGAAAATTTTTGTCAGGCATTGACAAAAATTCAACCTGGGGAGACATGCAACGGAGAGAAATTTTGACGTTGGATAGGTTAATTTCACTGAAAATGCATTGTGGACGACCTCGTGGCGAAGTTTGAACGATTGTGCTCAAAACCAGCAATACTAAAGATTGGAGAATGAGAACGAGACATGCCGAGAGCATCGAAGTGATCTCGCTTAGTAGTGAGTCTCTAAGATATAGTCTTGTCCCAAATATGGCCTTGCTGTTTTACTTGTTTAAAAATATTGTTATTCAAAGTCTAAAACTTTGGCGCACACAACTATTTTTAAATATACAGGGTTTGTCTGAAAAGTAATGTCAGTGAGTCAATTAGAAGACATTTATTGAACCAATTGGTACAATACATTAAAAGGTTTCAAAATAGGCTCCTACTGCCTCGATACATTGCTTCCAGTGAGATTTCCAGGCATCAAAGGCATCACGGTAGGCCTTTTCCAAAATGTCCTTTAGAGCTGTGGCACAAGCCTCTTTAACTTTGTCAACTGTCCCGAAATGATGCCCTTTCATGGAAGTTTTCAAGCACAGGAACAAGAAGAAGTTGGGGGGGCACCATGTCAGTACTGTAAGGCAGTTGGGGAACCGTTGGCACCTTGAATTGGCCAGGAAGCAGGTTTTGAGGAAGGCGGTGTGGGCCGGACGTGATGAACCCTTTGTTTGAGTCTTTTGAGCACTTCCATGTAGAATTTGGCATTGACAGTTACACCATGTGGTACAAACTCATGGTGGATGAGTCCTTGATGTCAAAAAACACAATGAGCATTGCCTTGATCTTTGACTGGCCTTCTTGGGGCGAGGGGATGCCGAGGTGTGCCACTCAGCACATTGCCTTTTTGTTTTGGGGTCGTACTCAAAGACCCAACACTCATCACCTGTGACGACATTGTCTAAAAAGTGGGGGGGTCACTTTCACACAAATCCCAAAGTTCTTGACATGTTTCAATTCGGCGCAATTTTTGGTTGTCTCTTAACACTTTGGGCACCAGCTTTTTGCGCACACTTCTCATCTGCAGACTGTTTGTCACAATCTTGTGAATGGTATTTTTTGGAATGTTTAATGTCTGTGCCATTAAACAAACACTCAAACAACAGTCTGAGTTCAGTCACATGTGTCACATTTTCATCAGTGATGGTCTTTCCAGCATGGGCTTCATCACTGACCTCTTCATGGCCTTCAACAAATGCCATGAGCCACTGGTAGACTTGGCATTCCGATAAACAATCATCAGCAAAGGCCGTCTTTATCATGAGAAAAGTTTCCACTCTGGACTTGCCAAGTTTCACACAAAACTTGATGGCAATCCTTTGCTCAATCGAGCGCTGCATCGCCGCTTGCACAGGAGACGAAAATAAGGTTCATGAAAATGTCTGTCCTTACTCTCCAGAAGCGATTAAGCGACCACACGTGCATAACCTGACTCCTCCTTCCACTGATCCAAGGACACTGTGACGTATACTCGCTTCACAGTAAAATCACTGACATTACTTTTTGGACAAACCCTGTAAGTATGCTTATTGTAAGGCATACACACTCAAAAAGGTTTGTCATCCCTGCCCTTGACAAATTATTTCATATCTATTATTAACTTAGCCTTATTATAGCCCGATAGTTTGGCAGATCATATGGTTTTAATTAAAGTAATCAGGTTAGTGGGATTGTTTGTATAAATATACATATACACACACACACCAGAATTTGGCTTAAAGATAAATGAATTAGGCTAAATTACAGAGTTTTGGATATAATCTTTAGCTCAATTGTAGCTTGACAATCTAGTGGTTAATATTTGACTATAATAATAAATCAGGCTTGTTATTGTTTACATTGAAAGAGGTTAAAAAATAAATTTAGTTTTCTCAATTAAAAGTGCAATGCATTTGCATCGCCATTTGAAAGAATATTCACTGTTTTTATTTTCAATAAACATTCTAAGTAGCTAAATTGATAATTCATTCACAAATTAGGTTTTCCTTGTTCTTCTTCATCATCATCATCAATTGCATATGCAATTAATAAGAATGTTCAAGACGAATCTTTAGTTATTCATATTTGATACATTGCCAGTTAACCATCCATTCATCTGTCTGATCTTTGCCTCCAGAACTATTTTCGTCTACCTCTAGGTAAAATTACCAAATATTTAATTATGAAGGATAAAAGTTATTCTATCTGTAGTTTTTCTACATCATGAATTGAAACTTGGTACAAATAGTTTATTATTAATAGTAAAACTTTCCATCGTTCATTCTGATGATTCAAAAAGAACTACTGCATGCCTTTATAAACCTTTGAATGAAACCAATCAATGGCATAAGTTTGAACTGTTAGGACATATAAAATTCATAAATCAACTGACATTTTTAACACTAACAACATTGGAGATGTCATACAAGAATGGAAGTGTTGAATACGACAGGTCCAATGACAAAAATGTAATCACAAAAAACACTTACTCTGAATAAATATTTATGTCCATAAACACCACTATTAAACCTTTACTTCCAGTAAAAATGATACACAAACAAACAAACAATTTACACTTATGGGTGGACTTCTGTCTATTTATGTATATTTAATTTATCATTTCAGTTTAAATCTTAGTTCTTAATTCCAATCTGGTTAAAATAATTTGTATTTAAAAATGTTTAAATCTTTGCATTCCATAATTGTAACTCAAGTGATCCAAAACCTGAGGCAGATCTTGATTAAGATCGAAAATGGTTTTTGTTTGTGTATCATTTCTTACCGGAAGTAAAGGTTTAACAGTGGTGTTTACATGTACCGGTAATTTGTCTAGTAGTTTAACTCCCCAATTTTTGAATACTGGCTCAGATTTGGTTTTACTAGCACTTTATCATCTAAGTATTTTTATTTTTGCTTTTATCTGCTCACAGTGCTAATCCTTTGAACTATTGGTACAGTATATTGTGCAAGACTCATTTCTATGCAGTCAAACTTTCAAATTCTAGATACTTGAAGATGGCTTATTAGCCAAAAATATAAGCATCTTTATAGTTTGCAACACATTCACACGAAAACATCTTTACACTTTCTGGCAATATTTAATGAGAGAAAACATTTTTGATCTTATAAATAGGACTTCTCCAGTTCCTAGGTTTTGTCTTTGGAAACTGATGAAAGCTTATTAATAAAGCCAAGAATGTTTCTGCTCATTAAACATTGCTTGAAAGCAAAGAGCTGTTTTCATATGAATTTGTTGACATCTTGTTCCAGTACTGTTTACAAGTTACATCTTTAGTTTTACCCTTGACATCACACAATCAGCTTTTCTTTTCTTCTATGACAGCAAAAAAACCTGTATTTCTACAGTATATATATACATAGTAGAGCATCGATTATCTGAATACTGATCACCGAAACATCAATTAACTGAAAGCTTTCCAGTCAGCAAATTTTAATTTCTGCTAGTGTTGTGGCACTGCAATCTTTGGCTGTCTAGGCCTACTCCAATATTATTTTTGTCACTGGTAGCACCGGCGTGACCATGAGAGGATACTTGAGGACATGCCAGGATTTGAACGAATTTCAACATGGGATAGGTTAATATATTTTTTCGTACATAATCAGTTATCCGAAAAATCGATTTTCCAAACAATTCCAGTCCCTAATTGATTTGGATAATTGACGCTCTACTGTATATATATATATATATTAAATCTGTTTATTTTTTTTTAAATAAAAATATCTTGCAAATGATGATAATGTGACAGTTATCAAAATTATAATTACAATACAAAAAAGAAAATACAATTTTAATAAACACTTACTATGTTTTTTCCATAACACTCCATGCTTGTTGCCAATGTCTTTGGAAAGCTTCTAAACACGTTTTCACGTCAGGCGGCTGTGGGGGCGTATACGATTTACGGCCGAAACTTGCCCGAAGTGGGCTTTCACGTTTAAACCAACTCATATATAATTAAGGATCAAGATGCACATACATAAAAAAATAAAGTTCTAGCCATTGATATAAAAAACTTTAGTTCCTTTGAAATTATGCTTTCCTGAAAGAAAGAAAAAAAAATTTATGAATAATTTTTACTCTCACATTTTTTCTTAATCTAATTAATTACACTTTATATTACATGATTCTACGAATCAGCATTATAGTAGTTTATTCATCCATCAATTTGTTACTTCAATAAGACATAAGTAATTTCAATTATCATAGTTTTGTGTGGATAGCCAATGGGCTATCTGTGTTTAAAAGGCAATTTGAAACAGAATGGTTGGTTACATGACAATCTTAAATTTTAATTACAAACTCTCAAACAGTTTTCTTTTGTCTGAAGTCATGAAGAGGGGTTTTAGAAAACATGAAAAATACTTTGTGTGCAGCAAACATATTCTTCTCCCAATCTCTATGATACTAATGGCGTAATATAGATAAATAATCTAGTACTACACAAACACCAATAAATCAGCAAAAAAATTAATATATACCAAAAAACAAGTGTTTGCTTCCATTTTAAAACAATCATCTTCAGGTTAAAAAAGCATAGGTATACAGTTTATATTATGGAAAAAAAAAACACAGGGCAAAAATAGGAAAATATATATATATATATTTGTGATGTAATTTGTACATAAAAATATATATATATATTTATGTACAAATTACATCACAAATAAAAAATATGAACTAATAAAAGTGTGAGAGTCCAGGCTTGACAAAAAGAGATTTTTCGGGTGNTTATTAAAATTATATTATTTTATTAATTAGAGGAGGAAAAAAACAGTTTTAAACAACAATAAATTATACAATGCACATTAGTTACATTGATAACTAGTGGTATGTGATCCTAAAGCTCAGCCTTTTTGAGAGAGTTGGCTTTAGAGTAGGGGTTTCCAACATTTTTTGTGTAGGGATCCCTTTTAAGAAAAATTTTCCCATTGACCCCTTCAATATTATATTCTATACATATTATATATAATATAATATTATTTAATGTATGTCATAGCATCTAACATAATTTTAAAAAGATATCTTCCTACATTTATTTAAAAGCAAAAATAATGTGTAAAATTTTAATATTTTAAAAGATTTTTTTATATTTGCAAAGTTTAATTGACCTTCTCAAACTTTCATTGACCTCTAAGCGGCCAATACTAGAATCACAAATATCATTATAAATTACATGGGAAATATGAAAATAATAATTTAAAAAATACGTATTAGTTCCTAATCGAATTTTGTTTAATTTACAATGTTACCGTCTGAATTGATTGATTCTGTTAACAGTAATTGGAACTCATTCTATGTAAATCAGATAATCATTTAAATTGATCTAAAATGGTTCCATTGCATGTTGATATGCAAATGACATGATATAATGAATTCTGAGAAAATTAATTATGAAGTTATTGCTTGTTATAATTCAAACCATTATTCAACAGAATAATTTACCTCAGTAATTAGAAACATTATTTCAGTTAAGATTACACTAAATAACTTTTAAACAAAACTTCATAATTTATACAATTTTTCAATAAATATTAATTACATTTTGCAAAAAAAAAAAATATATATATATATAAATGCAATAATTTGTTGTCAATCATTATAACTATAATTTGTTGTCATTACATTCACATGAAAAAATATGGTATTACACTGTGTGTATATATATATATATATATATATAAAATGGAAAAATGGAATGATACAACAAAGAAATGTTAAACAGTTTAAGAAAATCACTGTTAATTTAGTCAACTGAAAGATAAAATGCTTTGAGAGTGTAAGCATGTCTATAATTAAAGAGAAAAACATTGACATATTTAGTTGTAATATAATCATTATTAACTACTATTAAAATATAAAATACACTCTTCTGTACTATTGTATCAATTGCTGGTGCATGTTACATAAAAATTATGTACAGTATAATATGGTATATAAATTAATAAAACCGATAATCTCAATAAGTTTAATTTATAAAACTTTTATACTACATTTGATAATTCATTAAATAACATTTTTTTAAAATTTTATGTATAGAAAATATTTATAGAATGGCACTCTTCTATTCTCAGAAGCATTTTCTACTAAAAATCTGTCAATCTGATGTATACGTAATCCACCGTACTTGATTGTAAATAATATTCATGTGATAGCACAAAATTAACATATTACTTGAAAATAGCAATAATTTGAAAATCAATACCAATAATGATAATTGTGATAACAACAAAGAATCCCCAATTTTTGAATACTGGCTCAGATTTGGTTTTACTAGCACTTTATCATCTAAGTATTTTTATTTTTGCTTTTATCTGCTCACAGTGCTAATCCTTTGAACTATTAGTACAGTATATTGTGCAAGACTCATTTCTATGCAGTCAAACTTTCAAATTCTAGATACTTGAAGATGGCTTATTAGCCAAAAATATAAGCATCTTTATAGTTTGCAACACATTCACACGAAAACATCTTTACACTTTCTGGCAATATTTAATGAGAGAAAACATTTTTGATCTTATAAATAGGACTTCTCCAGTTCCTAGGTTTTGTCTTTGGAAACTGATGAAAGCTTATTAATAAAGCCAAGAATGTTTCTGCTCATTAAACATTGCTTGAAAGCAAAGAGCTGTTTTCATATGAATTTGTTGACATCTTGTTCCAGTACTGTTTACAAGTTACATCTTTAGTTTTACCCTTGACATCACACAATCAGCTTTTCTTTTCTTCTATGACAGCAAAAAAACCTGTATTTCTACAGTATATATATACATAGTAGAGCATCGATTATCTGAATACTGATCACCGAAACATCAATTAACTGAAAGCTTTCCAGTCAGCAAATTTTAATTTCTGCTAGTGTTGTGGCACTGCAATCTTTGGCTGTCTAGGCCTACTCCAATATTATTTTTGTCACTGGTAGCACCGGCGTGACCATGAGAGGACACTTGAGGACATGCCAGGATTTGAACGAATTTCAACATGGGATAGGTTAATATATTTTTTCGTACATAATCAGTTATCCGAAAAATCGATTTTCCAAACAATTCCAGTCCCTAATTGATTTGGATAATTGACGCTCTACTGTATATATATATTAAATCTGTTTATTTTTTTTTAAATAAAAATATCTTGCAAATGATGATAATGTGACAGTTATCAAAATTATAATTACAATACAAAAAAGAAAATACAATTTTAATAAACACTTACTATGTTTTTTCCATAACACTCCATGCTTGTTGCCAATGTCTTTGGAAAGCTTCTAAACACGTTTTCACGTCAGGCGGCTGTGGGGGCGTATACGATTTACGGCCGAAACTTGCCCGAAGTGGGCTTTCACGTTTAAACCAACTCATATATAATTAAGGATCAAGATGCACATACATAAAAAAATAAAGTTCTAGCCATTGATATAAAAAACTTTAGTTCCTTTGAAATTATGCTTTCCTGAAAGAAAGAAAAAAAAATTTATGAATAATTTTTACTCTCACATTTTTTCTTAATCTAATTAATTACACTTTATATTACATGATTCTACGAATCAGCATTATAGTAGTTTATTCATCCATCAATTTGTTACTTCAATAAGACATAAGTAATTTCAATTATCATAGTTTTGTGTGGATAGCCAATGGGCTATCTGTGTTTAAAAGGCAATTTGAAACAGAATGGTTGGTTACATGACAATCTTAAATTTTAATTACAAACTCTCAAACAGTTTTCTTTTGTCTGAAGTCATGAAGAGGGGTTTTAGAAAACATGAAAAATACTTTGTGTGCAGCAAACATATTCTTCTCCCAATCTCTATGATACTAATGGCGTAATATAGATAAATAATCTAGTACTACACAAACACCAATAAATCAGCAAAAAAATTAATATATACCAAAAAACAAGTGTTTGCTTCCATTTTAAAACAATCATCTTCAGGTTAAAAAAGCATAGGTATACAGTTTATATTATGGAAAAAAAAAACACAGGGCAAAAATAGGAAAATATATATATATATATTTGTGATGTAATTTGTACATAAAAATATATATATATATTTATGTACAAATTACATCACAAATAAAAAATATGAACTAATAAAAGTGTGAGAGTCCAGGCTTGACAAAAAGAGATTTTTCGAGTGAAAATTTAAATTTTGAATTTTAAAACTTGTTATAAAATTTTCCCATGATTGTTAAAATTGTAAAGGATATGATTTTTATTCCTCTGTGGAGTCACTTTCCTTTCAAGATGAAGCAACCCCTAGTTGATACATCAGATGTGTCACCAGGAACTTTGTCCAATAACAATTTCTTGTCACCTAGGCACTGCAACATTACCAAAAAAGGGCAAGAGAGAAAAGAGGGAGGACCCCAAATAAAAGGCAATGACTGATGACAACAGTTCGTCCGAGAGAGAAGTTTGTCTATCTTACCAGGAGTTTGTACGCCGGCAAAAGGGGACAGTTCATTTGTCTAAGAATCCTCCATCATCAAAAGTTTGCCCTAGTCAGAGTTGCCTCAACGATTGGATACCTTAGGACCTTCCTCCTCCCATCCTTAGTGATCCTTCATGAACTCTATAAAAGTGAACTCCATCAAGCCTTCGATTCGCCTCAGATCCCTTACCAGGTATCTATGAACCTTATATGTAAACACTCTCTCTCCAACTAGGGGTTGCTTTGTGCATTGTCACAAAAGATAATAATAATAATAATGAACACTAAACATTTGTATTTCTCAGATTCTCAACTCTATACTTACTTTTGTATTACACTGTGTGTGTATATATATATATATATATATATAAAATGGAAAAATGGAATGATACAACAAAGAAATGTTAAACAGTTTAAGAAAATCACTGTTAATTTAGTCAACTGAAAGATAAAATGCTTTGAGAGTGTAAGCATGTCTATAATTAAAGAGAAAAACATTGACATATTTAGTTGTAATATAATCATTATTAACTACTATTAAAATATAAAATACACTCTTCTGTACTATTGTATCAATTGCTGGTGCATGTTACATAAAAATTATGTACAGTATAATATGGTATATAAATTAATAAAACCGATAGTCTCAATAAGTTTAATTTATAAAACTTTTATACTACATTTGATAATTCATTAAATAACATTTTTTTAAAATTTTATGTATAGAAAATATTTATAGAATGGCACTCTTCTATTCTCAGAAGCATTTTCTACTAAAAATCTGTCAATCTGATGTATACGTAATCCACCGTACTTGATTGTAAATAATATTCATGTGATAGCACAAAATTAACATATTACTTGAAAATAGCAATAATTTGAAAATCAATACCAATAATGATAATTGTGATAACAACAAAGAATAAAAAACTATTTTTATTATATATATAAAGCATTAAATTTTACTTAGAAAATTTTCTTTTGATTGTTAATGTTATCTAATAGCTACCAATAGATTTTGATTTTATATAAACAAGTTTTTTATAAATTTAAAATCATCTCTACAATGTATCTTATGCCTTATCATATAGAAAAAAAAAAGTGTTCTATGCAAACTACAAATATATATATATATATATATATATATTTTTNACAGTATTACAGAATTTGCAACAACTTACAAAGAGAAAGACATTTTAGGAAAGTAAACTAAAGATTAAGTTTCAATAGTACTTTTTACTGATCAAACTGTTAAAATTTCTTGAGTGCTATTAATAAGTTGATTTAGCAAATCAATCAATTTTGAATATCAAAGATGTTCACATTATATCTACGTAGATATTATGTGAGCATCTTTGATTTTCGAAGTAATGTAGCCCAATGAAGGCTTTTAAATAAAGTCAAACATTAGTTATTAAAGAATTTGTACTGGAATTTATGATTATTTACAGTTCTGTTAATTAATGAATGTAAGTCACCAAGCCACTCTAATCCTCTGATTACTGTAGGGAAGTTACATTCCATTGGTTAATGATAATCATAATAGCATTTCTGGAAACAGAAGAAAAACTGATTTGAAGTAATGAATGTCCAGACTGATCACAAATTTCAGGTGGGCAAAAGTCAGATATAGTCACGAAGTAAAGGTGGTCTCAAAGGAAGGTTTTACCGTATTGATAGAGAACATATATTTTTATTCAAGTAATTTTATATATTTAATACTGAAAGTACAGTATTCCATTATTATTCAGTTAAAAATGGATGATAAAAAGATATCATCCATCTATTTGAAAATTGTTTCACTCTACACACTACAAATAAGCATGTGTTTTTATTTCTTCATAAAATAATAAAGTTTATTTTACATTTTTTAAAATATAAAATATCTTATTTTTTTCAATAAATTTAAACAATAAATCTAATATATCACCAAGTTTTACAACAAATGTCTAATCTGAGCAATGCTCAAGTATTGCAGAATTTTCACTAAGTATAGTTATGCTGTGATGCTGAATTCATTTCTAGCTACTTTTTGACTCCTCCCACTGCTAGAATTCTAACTAGTTTAGTAAACTTATATTATCTGTGTTAATCTTCTACTAGTGATGTCATTGTTTTAGTCTCATACAATTTGCAAGATGGCTGCTTGCACTAGACTAAATATACAAATTTTTTGTCATAAAATTATGATGATTATACTTATAAATGGTGGCTGATAATTATATCAGCCACCATTTTTACACGCAATTAGTCTAACTTGCTAACTCAGTACATCATCCAAGGAAACTCAGAACACAGCTCTGCCTCCTAGCCAATTAGATTTCTCACTTGGTATTCCGTGTTATTGAACATGGCTCTGTACAAGCAACTTTTATCTCTAGCAACATCACTAATGTTATCACAACGTATTCTTCTTCATCTTCAAAACCATTCCTTATTTCTCTACTTGTTTCAAAATAGCACTGTTGTAAGTAAAGACTTGTTTTTCAAATTTTGTGTCCGTATTACTCTTCAAATCAGTGTAGTGAAAAATTTTTGAAGGGTCATCTCAAAACTTCTTTATGTACAGTACATGACTTAATCAACCAAAAGTTTGTAGTAATAGGCCTAGCTTTTCTTATCGGTACTGAAAATATCTTGAGCTTTTCATGTCTATTTAATGGAAAAACGCAAAATAAGTAGCATAGATAATGAAAGTTTTGAGATTACATTTACAGGAAGCAATTCAAGCAGCTCTTAATACTTATTTATGTTCTTAATAAAAAATATATGGAGTTTTACTAATTTAATTGGAACTTTTAAAATTGTGAAAGCTGATAATATTGATGTAGCCTTCAGAAGGAACCCTCCCTTACATTCCCTGATGAAGAATTATAAGGACTGTATTGAGGAGCTTCAATTGGGCATTCACTTCATCCTAGTCACTTAAATCACCTTCCGAAAGCAAATGGAATACATTGGTGTCACAACATGCTCACTCAAATGTTTAAAAGAACATGTAACCTTGATTAAAAAGAGCATTACATTACTGCATTAGCCAGACTAGCCACAGAACACCAAATCCAAGCACACATAAATGGAGCCTGACTACTACATGCAACTAGAATGCAATTGTCTCTCATACACCCGGCAAAGCTAGATATATATATATATATAAGGCTTGTAAGAAAAATAAGGTCATAAATTTCAAAAAGATAGCAACCCTACTCTCTAGCATGGAGATCTCTATTTAAAGTCTAGCAATAAATATTACACCTAACATCAATAGCAACAACTAATCGGATAATGACTCTTCCTTTAAATTATGATGTTCGATTCAGCTGCATTTTTTTTTCAAACATATTTAATCTGATGATGATAGTTAAAGCTATCAAAAACATTTGTTTATTGTTAAATATTTCTTGTTTTTGCTGGAGTTTTTGATTTTAGTTTTTTCTTCAGTATAAGATCAATTTGTGTAGAGACAATACTGGACCAAATAAATATCTGGCAAGCTTGAGACTAGAAAATGTCCACATTTTTGAATTTTCCAGTTTTCTGAACATAGGCTAAATATATACTTAAAATATGGAATAAACAATAGAAAGTAAAGAACAAAACTATTTTTCATACACTACATACCAGCAGTCTCAATGAAAACAAAAAGCAACCACATAGCAAACTACAGCTGAAAATACAGACATATTAACTACCTGATACGTTGCAATAACACACCTTCAATTGCCGTATATCATCGAGTTATAATTTGGTAATAATAATATATTTAATTATTATTACCAAATTATAACTCGATGATATACGGCAATTGAAGGTGTTTTATTGCAACGTATGACATATGGCAATTGAAGGTGTTAAACTATAGCCTGCCAAATTCATAACTAGCTGGTTTTCTGAAAGTTCCAGATTTCTATAAGCCAGCTATTTAGTCAGGTACTGTATTAGATAACTGTACTAAAAAATGTACTGTACTATGAAATATGATGAGGTAAATGCAAGGAGGAGTTTATTAATATCTAAA